CTCCTCCCTTGCTTTGTAATTGATATGCTGGCGAAAATGTGGGCTTTGTGAATCCAGTCATATTTTATCTCCACAGTGATGGGGGAAGCTCTCATGCACAGTGGTGGTAAGGGAGCCTCATAGGTTTTTCCATTTGACCGCAGTGGAGACAGCACTAAGAAGGGAAACAGCTCTAGCTGTTGCCTCAAGGCAAACCAGTGGTTAATCTCTTCAGGGAGCTGTGAGTGATGGAGCAGAGACACAAGGATCTTCTGTTCTGGGTCCACTACAGACCAACGGTACCATACAGGGATACAGAACAGCACTCAAGAGGCCGCCGCCAGCTTCAGTTCCCTCTGGATTTGACTCATCCTCCTAGTCGTCCTGTAGTCTTTATTATCCTCTAAGTGAGACGAAAGGAACCACCACACACGCACATGCTAAGATCCAGTGTGAGCCCATGTGAAATGGGGGGCAAAGGAGTGGCCTCTGCTGTTGCCAACACAAAGCCTGTGAGTTAGATGGCAGGCTATGGAAGGCGTGTGAGCCTAATACAGCATCATTTTTTTTTTTTTTTGGAATTGTTCAAACCTTAACTGTTTGAACATAACCTTGCTATTGTGCTGCAAATACTTCCTAAGTTTACACTTTAATAACTATCGATTTTATAATAAACTTTGAGAAACTAAGACATTTAAGAGTTCCCTGGACTGGGAAAGAAATGTCTTAAATGAAAAGAAGCAATTCCTTGGACTAGTGCTGTGCGGTACATTTCTTCCAGAGCACGTGCTACCCCAGGCTGTGGTTGAGAGTGGGAGATCGTGTGGGAACTAGCAACAGAGAGGCTGGCCCAGTCCAAGTCTGGCTCCCCCGAGTATTCTTACACTGCAGGTCCCTGGCTGCCCCCACTGCCTCTGGTTCTCTGGACATCATGATTTGGAGTTAAGTAAATTAAAGTGGACATTCCCAGGTTGAGAGCTGTGAGGCACGCTTATAATCCCAACACTCAGGAGGTTGAGGCAGTCAGATTGCAGTGAGTTCAGGGCCAGCTTGGACTATATAGTGGGAACTTGTCCCCTGAATCAAAACGCAACATAATAAAACGTAGTACACTTACAACACAGGTATATGCAATGGCAAAACACACACACACACACACACACACACACACACACACACACACACACACACACACACACAGGAATGCTGAACTTTAAAGAAATGGGAAGCCAACAAGAGCTCCAACTTGAATCACATTGCTCATCTCAAAGCTCCCAAAGTTGCTAGGCTTGAAATCTAAACTCTTTCATCTGGTCCTTAGAAGAGTTCTGAATTCTCAGGGCGAGGGTTTGAGCATAAAAACTCAGGTCGGGGATGCAGCTCAGTGGTAGAACACTTGACTGGCTTCTGCAGAAGCCTGGGTTCAATCCCCAGCACCACAGAAACAGGACAGGCTAGCAACTATGAACATCTTTCGTCAGGCTCTCTGACTGAGCAATAACGGATGCATAACATCTGGTTTTAGCTGGTCCCTTCCCAGCACTGGCGCCCTCTTTTGAGTAAAGTTCTGCTGCTGTGAAGAATGTGCGTCAACTAGCCAGCCAATGGCAGTCCCGCTTGTTATCTGTGAGGTGGTTTTTCTTCTTGTTGTTCGTTTGTTTTTTATTTGAGACAGGGTATTACTATGTAGCCCTGGCTGGACTGAAATTCCCTATGTAAACCAGGCTGGCTTTGAACTCTCGAAGATCCAACTGCCTCTGTCTCCTGAGTGCTGGGATTAAAGTTGTATACCACCATGCCTAGCTCATCTACTGTTTTGGAAGATCTATTTATTTTATTTATAATTTGTGTGTGTGTGTGTGTGTGTGTGTGTGTGTGTGTGTGTGTGTGTGTGTGTGTGTGTTATGTGAGTTTATGTGTACCATGCGTGCAGGTGCCTAAAGAAGCTATAAGAGTATGTCCGATCCCCTGCAACTGGAGTTACAGACAGTTAGGAGCCATCGCGTGGATACTGGGAATCCTGGTCCTTTGCAAGAGCCATTAAGAGCTCTTAACTGGTGAGCTGCTGTCTAGCCTTCCACTTGTCATCTATTTTATAGTCCAATTTCCCCTGTAGAATGTAAGAAACAGGAGGGCAGCTTTAGCCACTCCTAACCACTCCCATCTTCATACCACTTCACAGAGCCTCCAGAAAGGTCCTTGCTCCGTAAGAAGATGAAGAAATGAACCGGTATCCCGGAGGCCAAGGTGGGCAAGCGCTTGCCTTATGAAGCCGCTGGAATGGTGAGCTGACTGAAGTGGGACTGGAGGTTTTACCCGCTATGGCGAAGGAGGCATATGGAGGGGAAGGCGGAACTTTAGACCCCCGGGGGAACAAGAGACGACTAATAATATAATGAAATTTCTCATCCCGATGGCCAGGGGTTGTTTGGCAAACTTCTATAACAACCAAGTAGTAAATGTTTTCAGCTTTGCAGCCCATAGGGGTTCCTGTGCAGTTACCAGCTTCTATTTCTGTGGAGTACAAAACAACCACACAGTATCGGTAAATGGGCTTTGGCCTATCTGTGTCTCCATATGATGTAATGTACAAACAATAAAATGTGAGTTTCATGCAATCTCCACCTCTCATGAAACATCTCTCTCTCTTTTCCCCCAACCACTTAACAACCTTTCTCAGACTATGAGGTCATGCCCAGTTTGAGGTCATCTACAGTTTGCTAACTCCTACCAAGCTCCATGCATCAGTTACATCAGCTCTTAAGCTGAGAAGAAATGGGATCCACAGTCCCATCTGACAGCAACTGTCCATCAGAGCACTACGGCATCCCAGGGAGCCACCCAAGTTGGCTGACTTCCAGCCAGATCATCTTTGTTTTCTCTCACCCCTGAAAAACCTGCCTTTGGTTTGACCAAGGCTGAAGGCTGTGATCTCAGAACACACGAAACCTGCAAAGAGTCCAGTATTCCTCTTCTGCATTTCTAGTCCTAGGCCACACCCACCAAAAAATCTTCAGAGGAGCTGCCAGGAGATAATAGCCTGGATGACCAATGGCTCACTCTGCCCATGCTCCTGACCTTCTCTGTGGAGAGTGAGAAATAACTGATCAAGTAGATTCCTTGTTCTCTGTGTTCCCTAGTAATTAACAGTGGTCCAAGATCAACCATGCAGACAGACAGAAAGACCTACCTGGGCAAACTGAGACAACTCCGACAACTTATTCATGCCCATCATAGGAATTTAATCTCATAGCAAATAAATCAATCTGGAGACACGCATTATTTTGAAAATACCACCACCAATAAATACATAGACCTTGCAGGCAGTAAGAGGTAAAGTCTCTATTTGGTGGAATCCACTTTTGCCAGGTCTGAGTTTTATATAAATGTGGGGAGTGGGTTAATCCTACTATTCACTTCTCTTCTCTATAGTATGCTCAAGTTAAATATGCTTCCAAAGACTGACTTTATGGCATGCTCTAACCTTGTACAAACATCTCACCATTTTCAGCAAGTTTATATTTGCTGTCTGAATAGAAAATATTAACGAGCTCAAGAAGATAACTTATGAGGAAAAAGTATTCTACCAACATTGTAGTTTGTCATATAAGATAATAACTAATTTTTTTTTTTTAAATTCCTTTCTGTCCGGAAAAGTCACAACAAAAAGTTTAAGTGTGTTTGGGCTGATTTTTCTCTGCAACTATTTGAAGCTGTAAATGACTTAACTCAGTAAAACTCCAAATGTAATTATCTTCTGTACTTAGCCTAGGGCTCTCCATATATCTCGCCATTGCTGCCTTGCATACAAAACAGGCTTTTCCATGGCTGGTACCAATATAATGTACAACATTGTTTTAATTTCCCCTCATCGGCTAACCTCTTGCCTACACTGAACCAGCCAGAGGAGAAGCATCCGTGAGTCATCAGCCACTCAAAAGCATTCTGGAACTCAGTTGCATAAATGGGGTTTGTAGGGTCAGGCTTTTGCAACTGTACGTTTTAATAATCTCCATTTCTGACCCAATTTTTACTTTCAGAAACTAATTTTCGATTAATTACACCAAGAAGGAGATTACTGTTAAAATATGGAGGTGCCTCCACAAGTTCTACCCGTAAGTCCAACTCGCATTAAAAATGTCCCCAGCGCCCTCAAAGGCGATTCTTCCAGGAAAACTGCACACATTTACTCTTCAGTGGTAAAATACATCCAACATAGCCCAGAGCATTTCCAAATATCGTGCTGCAGATAGAGTAAACATGCATATACCTTCTCTGCATTATAAATTAATATATATATATATATATATATATATATATGTGTGTGTGTGTGTGTGTATGGACTTGAAATATACAGTGAACTCAATTACTCTCAGTGATAACAGAGAGAAAGGGGCCGATGCCAAATAGGGACCGAATTCTCATACAGCTTCTCCTGTGGCTTGAGAACACACATGTCTTTGTGTGTTCCCTCACCCATCTTGATCTCACACACTCATCCTCTGTCCATTCATGCTCGCGTTCTCTCACTCTCCCTCCCTCGAGCTCCACTTCAGCACTGATAGCAGCTTCTGGGGTGCAGCAACAACAGATGAGCCAAAGTGTGAAGGACGAGCAATGACGGAGACAGCAAGAGAGAGAAGGTGCCAGAGAGACAAGAGGAGCTGGACAGACTGAAAGAGAGGGAGGAAGGGAGAGGGAAAGAAAGGAAGAGGACGGGGGAGGGAGGAAAGGCTGGGGTGGGGGCTGGGGGCAACTGGCACTTGGCAGCACAGAGGATGCTGCTCAGAATCGGGGAAAGGTTTGAGCGAGCACCAGTCCCAAAGAAGTGCGCTGAGGCTGAGCATCCCCAGATAACAGTTAAAAAAAAAAAAAAGTAGAAGGCAATAGTAAGATCAAACAGACAACAGGCTGTGGCGTTTCCATTCGAGAATGAGCACACAGGAAGTCGTTAGAGGACACTGCAGAGACGAGCGAGCCGAGGAACACGGAAGGAATATGAGAAATAAACGTGGCTTTAC